GTAGTTTTTATTTTTTATTTTTACACAAGCGATATTGGGAGAGACGTCATAGCTTTTGCTAGTTGCTAATTTTTTTCAAGGTGACAGCTGACAAATCAGCAACTGGAAAATAAAAACTGTATTCCAGTACTAGTATAGTGGGAATTGAAAAATACTGTATTCCGCATCATCAAACTTGCGAGTTGCTGATTGGCTAAGATCTTAGTCAATTAACTTCGTCGCGTGCGTCAATGTACAAAAACTTGTGGTAGTTGATTTTTTCCTTTTTTTCTTTGTTGGGGAGTTAAAGTCAATCACTCCCATAACCCCACCTGTCTTACAAATTTTTAACTCATTCATTATTAATATTATTCTGGAATGATATATATGAAGCCCAAATTTAAGACCAGTTAATCTTTACTAATCAAGAAAGAGGGAGATGGGCATGCAGGATCTTCGACTTCAGTTCTTCCCCAAGAGTATTCATTAATTAGTATATAATATATTGGTTGCAATTGTTTAATCAAAGTTTCTACAGTAACAGTAGTATCAATCAACGTTAATCATCAGCTGATTGGTTTTGTCCCGTTAAGTGTTAGGACGCAATATCTCACATTTTCGTTAGTAAAATACGAAGAGGGAATATCTATAAATTTTTGTTTGAAATTGTTGTTACAAAAAATAAAAAATAATCTTAGCCTCTCACATTCTTTCATTATGAATAAAATACGTACATCTTTTATTCGGCAATATTTTGGCAAATTACAACTGATAAGCTCGGTCACTATACAATATTTTAATATAATTTATTTAAATTTGTAATATATAATATTTTTATTTAATAACATGTGAAAATTATGTGTATAACAAGTGAATTTTGTGTGTATAATTGAAAATTTTGTAAAAACCAAGTGTATTAAACATGAAAAATAAATATGTATATATACAATACGAGTATAAAATGTGAAAATACTAAATTATTTATACGGGTAATAGCTTTGGAAAAGTAAAAACTCAAAGGGGACAATAGAAACTCATATAATGGCCTAAGTAAAGAATAATGCTCTAAACTACCCTTATTAATAAACAAAAAATTGGCAAAAAACAATTAACCAAAAAGGATCACAGTATCTGTAAGGAAACAAATATTTATAAACAAATGGCCCCAGTAAAGCCGCGCGGCTATACTATTTATATTAAAACCTAGTATAGGCGCATTCTGTGTTTTTTAATATACTATTCATATATGACGGTATTGCCCCTCTGGATTACATATTTTCTTCGTTGTGGCATACGTCCGCATTTTAACTGGACTGGAAAAACAAATACCAAATTGCACCCATCGTCAGAATAGTCAGAAGAATGAAGAAAAGAAACATTAAAAAGACCCATTGCCCACTGAACCAAGAAGCTCTATTTATACTAATATTGTATTTAGACAAATTAATACAACTAGCTAGTTACCATGCAGCTAATTGGTTCTGTCCTCTCCCTACGTACTACGTAGTAATATAAACAGTAATTATTCCTTCCCCTCTTAGCTACGACAAATTCAAATAAGTTAACCATAAATAAATAAATCAAATTACATCATTAGAAAATTTTAGAATCCCATAGAGCCCCAATGTGGGAAAAGTAACTTTAAAACTCATCGTTTGGAATGGCATGATTGATTGGTGTTGTAGTTGACAAGCTCTCACCGTTGCAACCCACTTCTGTAGCCGGGGGTGGGGTAGACGACATCGATGTAAGCGTCGGGAGACGTTCGTTATTACTTGAATAAACGACAAACAATTATTCTATCTCACCACAAACAATTAATTAATAAGCTAAAGGAAAATGATTGAAAATCAATAGTAGTAGAGAGACTTCAGTACAAACCTGCGCAGTTCCCATGACATATAAAATCAGTAGGAAGCTAGTGATAGAAATAAAGATTGCAAACAAGTTTTTCTACAAGTAAGGGTCCGTTCGGTAACGTTTTAAGTGTTGAAGAATATAAGTCCCACATTGAAAACTTGACTAAATAAAATACAAAATATAACAAATGGTTCTACTACTAATAACACCGAGGCCTTTTGTGATAAAACCCCACACCTACTGGGCTTTGTAGGTGGTTAAGTTGGGGACAATATCGGTGTTGTTGATAGTGGGCCGCTGGCCAATCTCTCTGAATTTAACATTAAGGGGTTGTTTTCATTTTCAAAGAACAAAAGTGAGGCAAAAACACGTTCGATGGCCCAAAACCAGAAGACAATAAGAATGTTTCATTTTCATTTACTGAAGATGTTTTTTTTTTCTGAAGATATTTTCTAATTAATTTGCCAGATGCATTTTAATATGATTAATTGATGCATTAAGGAAAAGTCATGTAAGGGAGAGGTAAGGGGAAGGGGGTATTTAGGTGAACGGGAAATTTGGAGAAGGCTGGCTTGAAGGCACTTGTTTTGTTGATCGATGAATAGAATATAAAAGAACAAAGGGTCCAGTGAGACACCAAACACACATGATGTTACAAATATCTTATTCCATATATGACGGTATTGCCCCTGTGGATGACATATTTTCTTCATTATGGCATACATCCGCGTTTTAACTCGACTGGAAAAACAAATAACAAATTGCACCCATCAGACTCAGAATGAAGAAGCTCAAAATAGTTCAGCCACTATATAATATTTTAAAATGATTTATTTAAATATTTTTAATATATATTATTTGTATTCAATAATATGCAAAACTTATGAGTATTGTGTGTATTATTGAAAAATTTTGTAAAAACCAAGTGTATTAAACATGAAAAATAAATACGTATATATACAATACGAGTATAAAATGTGAAAATACTAAATTATTTATACGGGTAATAGCTTTGGAAAAGTAAAAACTCAAAGGGGACAATAGAAACTCATATAATGGCCTAAGTAAAGAATAATGCTCTAAACTACCCTTATTAATAAACAAAAAATTGGCAAAAAACAATTAACCAAAAAGGATCACAGTATCTGTAAGGAAACAAATATTTATAAACAAATGGCCCCAGTAAAGCCGCGCGGCTATACTATTTATCTTAGGCGCATTCTGTGTTTTTTTAATATACTATTCATATATAAAAAAACTCGGGTATAGCCGGGCAGCTATACTATTTATATAAAAACGAGGGACCCCCCCGGAGCCTAGAGCTGCTTGGCCACGTATTACAAAAAACCGCGAGAAAAAAGACTCGCCTGTAGCCTGCGGCTACACTATTTTTATAGTTAAAACCGTAGTATAGCCGACCGGCTATACCCCAGTATAGCCGCGCGGCTATACTATTTAACCGCGCCCGCTTCGCCGTCTGTCAAAACAGTATAGCCGGCCGGCTATACTATTTTTAATTAAAAAAACCCCGAAATGACAGGTGATACTACCAGTACTACCTTGACCAGCTAATTGGGGTGTATGCTGCTGCTTATCCATGTTCGCTTGATTAATGCGATGGACTTATCTTTCTATTGAAGAAATTGCGTGGTTCTTCAGCTGCTCCAACTCAGGGTCGCTAAATTGGTTGAGCTCCTTGTCTTTGGTGAAATGCCACCAGAATTTAGTGATTACCAACTCCAAGTCCCTGGGCATGGGTGTAAAGGCCTCAACTTTGCTTACAGACTTGACATTTCTGGTCGAGATGGGTAAGACAGTACGAGACGTAATTAGATTTGATGCCCAATTTAGAAGCTCTCCTCCATACAAATCACCCTTCTCCAGAAGCTGAGAAGTACCAATCTTTCCACCTTTGCCATTTGTTCTGTACGTCCGTGCAATGCCTTGCCTGATGAAAAGCATCCTATCAAGTTGGTCCCCCTCTCCAATAATATCCTTGTTCTCATTGTAGTTGATTGGTATGAGATGTTCACAGATTGCTTTCAACAGTTTTTCATCCATAGCTTTAAGAATTCGAATCTATATAGATACCTTTAATATATCAGAGTTATGACTAATTAAATCCAATGAATATGTATATAATATATATATATATATACAGAAAGGAATAATTACTTACATTCTTAAGTGTAGCCAAACGAAGATAACGCCTGATAAAGTTGCTATGTTCCAATGGAAGAACAGAGAGGATGTTCTCTACCTGAACATCTTTATTTTGTGCAAGTTTTTGTTGAACGACTTGCATGATCACTTCCTTCAAATATAATTCTTAGGAAGGCCCTTTCTAGATAGCCACAAATCTATCTATAGATCTTTCGTTTTCAGCTTCCGTCTAAGCTTTTCTGATCTTGTAGTTGCAAACTGCAAATACGTCTGTATATATAGATATTCCAGAACAAGAGTTGCTATTGGTTCAGTTCATGATTAAATCCTCGAATTTATAGTATACATGGGCAGATAATTAATGTTAGAAACAAAATTCATATGAAGATTTGAAGACCAACCTGCAAATTCCCAATGAGATACAAGAATAGCAGCAAGCCAATTATAGAAATCGCCACACACTCCTCCCCCCAATCACCCAACCCTCCTTCTTCCCACAATATTAATTATGTTATACAATTAGTATCTTTTTAAGCTCTAAGATCACATTCCTTTTCTAATTAAATGTATTTGGTTCCTACTAAAACAATGGGAGAGGGAA